TCTCTCTCTCTCTCTCTCTCTCTCTCTCTCTCTCTCTCTCTCTCTCTCTCTCTCCACAGACACACGCACACACACACACATATATCAGTGTTAAAGAGTTGTTTATGTTTGTACTGGCCCGAGGCTAGAACGTGCTGCATTGGAGTCTCTTTGAAGCAGTGAGTTAACTTGTTAAGCAAGTTGGAATGTAGAAAAGTTTACATAATGAATAAATATATTTTTCTACCACTCAGTATAGGATGGCAATGTGGTAATTAGTTTGCCAGCCCTGCTCTTTGGATGTTGGCATCCTGGTCATTGCACAGTATGCTAATCTCAGACTGTAGAGCAACAGTGGCCATCGGTTCCTCATAAGGACATAGAAAGAGGCATAACTTCAGGCTATGTGCTTATCTAGGAAGAGCAGGGGTTGCCAAAATAAGAAACCTCAAGCCCCAGTGATGATTACACATTTTGACATCTCTTCCTTGGTGACATTGAATATTCACAGGCCATGAGAATGTCAGGATTTTAGCCTGAGTTTTAAGATAAAACAGTTGTTTGTTTAGAATATGTATGTGTGTATCTCTGTGTGTATGCACTCACACACATGCATGCATAATATGTTGTTAGATGACTGTTTTGGATTTTGATAGGATTTAACATTAGCATTTTGTACTGATGTAGAACTTGTAAATATCTACTGTACACAGAAATTCTACTGAGCTCGGTAAATTTTATTTCAGGGAATAAGATTATACAACAGCCACCTGGAGTCTTGTAAATAATAGATTAAACAACAAATTGTGGCAAATGGGTTATTCATCAGATATTTATTTTTATTTATTATAAAAATGTATATCATATCCTTCAAGTGCTTAAATACCACCTCGTGCAGCTAACAGGTAAAATACATACACACATTTACACTAAAGCTTTGTATATTTCCTAGGGCTACCAGATACTGGCTGCAGAAATTGGAATAATCTTTAGATACAAAAACTCTCTTTGCTGCTATCTAGTGGTGATTCAGATTTTAGCAACCAACATATGCTAGTCAGTGTTGTTTGTTAAAGCTGTGGGCAACAGAGAGTGCCCAGTGGGGCTTTATGCCTGCAGGCTCCACAGTGGCTACCTACTCATGCTTTACTATATTTATAGCACAGATGAGCTTCTGGAGGAATTGTTGGACTGAGATATGGTTACTAATGTTTTGCTGCCATCAAGGAGTCATCCGGAGTCTTGCAGCCCTGATATGATAGACCTATTCCAGATGTTGATGAACTACAAATTGGCCCAACCTAGATCTTTTTGCAGCCTAGATCTGGTAGCCCTAGCATTGCCTACCTTAAAATGACAAATAACTGTGCCACTGATAATTTGGCATTTATAGTTGGAGAGGCTCTTGAGGGTGAAAACACACATATACAAATTTGGGGCTGGAGGTGACTCTAGTTCTCTTGTGTTGCTGATCTGAAATACAACAGTTCCAAAGAAAAAAGGATGATCGTCACCATCATTAAGTCAAACCAGAGAGATGTGATACCTTACAGGCTAATTCACTAATATGCTATTGTGCATAGAGTCTATGTGGTCATAATGGTGCATCGAGTCATCTCCTAAATAAATAGGTATAGGGTTAGACCAATTTCCACTGCAAAAATCCACCAACCTGTCTTTTCTCAACCTTGTGGCCACCAGGTGCACTGGAATTGCAATTTCCAACATTTCCACTCAGCATAGGATCTTTAGTAAAAAAAAGCAAGGAATAGTGATTTTTTTTCTACTTGTATTTGCTATATCAAATAATTTTAGCCTCTTGTAATAAAGAATTTTGCTATACTTTGAGGACAGAAAATAGATTTTTCTCTGTCAAGCTAGAACCCCCCTTTTTTTTAATGAGCTGAACCATTTTCTCACTAAGTTTCAGAAGACCTTAAGAATCTTAAGCACGTAAGCAGAAATAGCAGTGGGGTGAGCGAGCTAGCAGCTGTTTGTGGGTGTTGATTCTGTATGTCCACAGAAGACAGGCCCCTAGCTAGCTGGATTTAAAAATGCAGTCCATCCTGAAGAATGGCTTGTTGAAAGAACACCCCATTGTTAATTCATCTCCTTGCAGCTGATCTAATTTCCAAAAATAAAAACCTTACTTGGCAGGCAATTTGTTAAGAATTCTTTCTTCTATTTGTTAAGAATAGAAAGTTGCACTGGTAAGAGGCAATGCACTGAGCTAGTAAATCAGCTTACTTATCTAATATGAAAAATTAGATTATGCAACAGAGGGTAGGTTTGGAGTCTGAACAACGATGGAGAAACATTGATTGTGTCACACCTACAGTAAACACATAGAGGGAGGCAGGGGAGATCCCACCGTGGTGTCTCTATGCTCTGTGTACATATACTACATGCTGATAGGATCCAGTACGAATCTTCATGGGGAGCAACTCCAGTAGACAGGTGAAGCCTGGTAGACACTGCTTTCATACCTTCCACTCAATATGTAACCATGGCTGACCTTCATGTGATTATTGTATGTGCAATGCAATCACTTTTACTTTGATCTAATTACAGTTTCAAAACTGGTACATTACAGAGGATAGAATCTAGCCTTATACCTGAGATCTGAATTTGAGTTTAGATGAACCTCACTGGGTAACTCAACTTTGTCACACATGAGTATTATACCGCCCAGTGCTAATTTTGCATATGTATTTGATAGCATTATTTCATGTTACTCTACTAAACTGTAGGTCACTTAGAAATGTGAATGTATTGGTATTGTTATTTATAGTAATTCACAAAGAGAAACCTGAGAAACCTGAGAAACCTAAAAAACTAGAGAAGACCAAAAAACTTGAAAAAGTAGAAAAGCCTCAAAAAAAGGAACTTGTTAAAGGTGAGTAATAACTACTGGTCATAATCTTGGTAATCAGGTTAACCCTGTGATTGCCTTTTGGCACAGTTGACGTATTGATGTATACAATCAAGAATGTAGGTACTGTGGGATACTATCCATTCTGTTTTATGCAGATAAGACAGTCATTTAGTTCTCTTTGCACATATGTGTGCACATGAATGTATAATCCACTGTTGAAATTTAAGGGACCAAAACAGTGCTAGATGTTATGCACTTTTCAGAAACATGAATTATCAGTTTTTCCAACAGATGCCCAGGTAACATGAAATCTAACTGGATTTGGCAGCTCTTTGCTTCCTAACAAAATGGAAAGCTCAAACTGCATCACCCCCGCATGAGAAAAAATAAATTTCCTCTTTTTCATCTACAGTATTGTGAAGATCATACTATAACGAGCAATACCTCCATATGCAAAAGATTCTTATTACCTCAACCCCCACACAATTGTTTCACAGGTCGGATGGCTTAAAAGTTTTGCCAATGGCATAACTGTGAAGCTGCAGTATGATTATATTCATTTACAGAGCTTGAATCGACAGCAAAAGAGCAATATCTGGTTTTAATTTCTAATCAAGTGAAGAACTGAATGAGAATATGTGAAAACAATAACTAGACTGGATTTACAGGATTATTAGCTTTCCCATAAATGTCTATCATATGGATAATTAGAATAGATTCACAAAATGTCTTCCAACAATTTACATTTTGTTAAACAGAATTAGAAGCAAAACTTCTGGTCCTCTTTGCCTTGTGTGTTGGAAAAAGAAGTTTCATTTAAATTTAACTTTTTACTTGAGGTCCTGTAATGGTATTACCTTGGGAAATAGGGGAGGGGGGAGAGATGCTGCCTAGGGAACAATCAGATAAGAGGGGGTGTAGCCTGCAGCTGCATAACGGAAGGAGAAAGAAGCTCAGAAAGGAACCTCCCTAACTTATCAGGCAATAAAAGAGATGATGGGAGATTTGTACTTTCAGACTTGCAAGGTTCTATTAACATAGCCTTACAATATAGTACAGCTAACTTGTCTGGTTGTGTTTTCTGTCTGGTCTATCTGGGAAGGCTGACAGGTCCTGGTCTTTTGTAAATCCACCCACAGATACTGGTTTCCATAGAAAATGGCATATTAATGTTCACTACAATAAATGCCAAAGCCCACTGGATCCTTCTTTAATAAAAACACCAACATTTTGGAATCAGGATCTGACTTCAGTAGATTTATGTTATTTGGAAATATATTGATCATAGTGCCTCCTTTTTGTATTGATTTATTTTATATTTTGACTGTATTGAGGTACATTTCATGAATAAACAAAGTGGATGAGCAATAAAAAAGGAATAGGATTTCCATGGAAATCTTGCACATACTATATTACCATGAATGGAAGGGAAAGTGTAGCACAGTAATATAGCAGAGTAAGAGCAATGCCAATAATAATTCAGAAAATGTAATTGTACCATTTTGCTAAGATGGTATTTTTAATTGTATATCTAAATATATTTATTTGCTTGCAGTGCTACCCAAAGAAAAACCTGAAAGACATGAAAAACTTGAAAAAAGAGAAAAACCTGAAAGGAAAAGCAAATATGAACAACCTGGAAAGATGGAAAAGAAAGAAAAAGCTATAGGTAATTATAATTTTCATGAATTCTGAAGAAGAGCAATACAAATCCCAATGTGAAACTCCTATAGGAGATAGGGAGAAAAATATTCCCTTCCCCAAATCAATTTTTGTTGAGAGATGAAACATGAAGCTAAATTTGGCCTTCATTTTTGCTTCATCATGTGGCCAGAAATCAGTTAAAATCCATAACTTAAAAAAGGACCAATCCCTCTTCCTAGACAAGGTTCTCATGTATCTTCTAGCCTGTTTAGGTATTAAGCTATAGCATAAGCTTCCAGGTATACAAAGCAGAGTTTAGAGTTCCTTGTTTGTTTCTGTTCTTGGTCTTTCATAAATTGATTCTGGTTTCCAGAACCAGAGATTCTAGTCTTTGAAGAAATAATGAGAGCTATGACTAATATTTCAACATTCATGCTGAACATATTCACCTCAAATTATTATTTCTAAATCTGCATTGCCAGCAAATGGTAAGACATGGGTTGTCATAGAACAGATTCAGTGTGATTTCTCAATTAAGAGCATCAGCTGAAGACTTGGACAAGCAGCTTCTATCTCCCACTGAGCCATTAAGATCACAGGGTGATTAGTAACATCTCCATGATACCTTCCACATAGAGTCCAATCCTGCTGCTGCTTTATGTAAGAAATCAGTGCTTTCAGCTGTGAGGAAACAATGGGTGAATTCCACCATTTTCAGTTTTTAAAAGCCTAAAATTTTATCTGATTATAGTAGTTGCAAGCTATTGAAATTTGAGGAAGGGCAGTGAGGTGACAGAAGAAAAGAAAAGAAAATTGGTTTTAATTAAAGAAGATAATAAACCATTGTGTTACGGTAGACTAAGCAGACTGAAAAAAGACTTACTTGGCAGTTGCCAAATTGTTTGTAGACAATGTCATGCTCAGTGTTAACTCCTTTATTCTTTAAGGACTTGGATCACCAAATTTCAGCTTGTTGCCTACTGACTATCATTTTTAGGCACATCACTGCCCATGTACTCACCACAAAAATATCATGATTTCCTGTTCAATAATAGTAATATTCTTCCCATGATTTTTGCAAAGATTTGTAGGGGGAAATGTTTCCTGCCTTATATAAAAAATATGCAACAATATGTTTATATTTTTTATTGGGATCTCAAATAATGAATAAGTTATGGTGGCCTATGAACTTCTAGTTCAAGAGAAGTCAAAATCAGCATATTACATCTGCTGTGGATTGTGTTCAATGAGTAGATTTCCACGTATGCTACATTTTTCCATTCTCTCCTTTCCCTCTCCCCTCATAGGCCTCCTGCATAACTGAAAATCTGTTCCAGAGGATCCCAAGTCCCCAAAGTAGAATTAGGGGTGCTGGAGCCTGCAAGGGGAAGGGTAAATCCATTCCACTGGCAGATGTGTTTTCTTCAGCAGATAAACACAAATTGCTTCCACCCGTTATGATTACCCCATGAAATTGGCATGAAAATGACGGTGCTCTCTCAGGCACAAAACCCACTTGTGTACTACTTTGAAAGTTGATGGATGATAATAAAAAACTAATTATATTGTACTTGCCTACAAAGAAAATGACTTGCTTAAGGCAAGAGGACATATGGCATTTGTAGGAGCACTTATGGTCATTTTTCACTGTAGTGTATTGAATTTAATGTTTCCTTATGGCACAGTCATGGCCAATTGGGGCTAAGGGTCATATATGGCAGGGAATAGAACTATTGACTGACATAGCTATTATTTGTATGAATAACTTCAGTTGATAAACCTGGTTTTAAGAGGATTATCAATGGAATTAGCACCGTGGGAAGGGGTTTTATGTACATGCTCATGCGTGTCTATAACAGTCCACAATCATTCATATTTCTCTTGTGGTTATCTCTTAAAATGTAAAGGATCTTGTTTAAAAACTGGCCATTTTGACATCTTACAAGTGCATTAAAATATTAATAAGTTGCTTCTAGTAGCAATTAAAAAACACAAAGGACCTGGACAAATGCAGTGTCAAAAATCTCACAACTCAGCAAGCTGCCAGTGAAGGTGAAACAGTTTAGAATGAATTCACATTCTCACCCCATTCCTGAACAGATGTTTCAGATCTGGGCTTTTTTTAAAAAAAAAATCATGCACCTCTTTCAGTGTTCTTTAAGAATCAAAAGTGAAATAAGAGCTTATTTTTGGTGGCAGAAATATGATAATTTTCAGAAGCCACACAAAAGGCCCACAGCTTATAGTTGCTGCTGAACTTAAGCTAGCTGCGATGACTATTGGATAGCTCTGAACACGCTTGGCCCTTCCCTATTGCTACTGGTAGTTCCTCTGGTCCCTCCCTTAGACTCCAAATAGAGAGAAAACCCTTTGGAAAATAGATTATTAGTTAGCAGTTTCTATCATTAGTTCCCACTGCTTCAAGAAACAAATTATCAGTCCAAACCTGAGGCTTATTGATTGGGATACGTATTTCAAATACCTCCTCCTAAATCCAAGGCAAGCATTTATTTTGGGGAGAGGAAGAGAAAGAGGGAGAAAAAAAAAAAGTTTCTAGGTACAGAAGAGAAAAGGCATTAAAGCATTGCTACAGTAATGATGTTGTTGGGCTTCATAGAAGGGGCAGTTCATACATTTCCCTCTAAGGAGGCCATTTGTACAGCATCTCATTTTTTCAAGCCAAAAGGAAAAATAACGTCTCTTTGTTTGCACATATTGATATAGTGCTCAACTCCCAACACATTGTTGTTCTGCTCTTTTCTCTTAAGTCCTCTCGGGTATGGCTACTTCCCCTGCAGTTTACCTCCCAGCAACTATAAGCAAAAACAGCAAATGAAAACAGCGGTGACAGTGATTTTTCTTATAATTGGGAGAGGTAGGATGCTATCATGTGGATGAGTATGTGAAAGTGGCTCATTCCTTATATTTGCATTTGTTATTGCATTTATACCTCCACTTTCTCCTGAGCCTTTTCTCCTTAAGCCTTTTCTCCTAAAATGGCTTAGGGTGACTTCCCTAATTATATCCCTAACTACAGCCCTATTAATTAGGCTGGGTTGAGAGAGGGTGACCCAAAGAAATCCCATGAATTCAGTGACTGAGTGGTAGTTTGTATCTTGATCTTAGTCCAGTGCTTTAAGCACTACGGCGTACAGGCTCTCTGCATATTGAGAGACGTAGATTTATACCCAGCCCACGATTCCCATTTGGAGCGTGCAACATTGAACTGCAGAAAAGGGATAAGGAATACTAAGCAACAGAAATGATAAGAGAAATGAAAAGAGATATATAAACTCTAGATTTAACTGACCTTGGTTTGGCAGCCTTTGGAGTTAATGGGCAAAATCTGCTGAAGAGGGATACGCTGTGCTAGAATATCAGCAGCAATTGAGGGAAGGCAGGAGGCAGGGCCTGGAGCTGCTAAGAGGAAGAAGGGAGAGACGGAGCAACACGTGCTAGCTTTGTCCCGCTTGTCATCCATGCCCTACCTGCTTTTGTTGGGGTTATGTAAACCTTTAATTTAATGAACATCTGGCTTTCACAGACACCCCCTTTGCCCCATTAGTCTGTTCAGTGCAGGGTTTAGTGTGCAGCTAAGCTTGCTTTACACACTATACCCCTTCATACCTTTCTGGGGATCATAGCAAATGAATGTGTGTCAGTGTGCATGTGTATGGTAAAATAAAGTAGTGAAATAAATTAACTAAAAGTAATATTAATATTCAATTAATTCAATTTCATTCCTGTTCCCAACTCACTTAAATATAAAAGAAAACCTTTTTGAAATGCCATTCCAAGTCTAGTTCAGCTCTTGGCTTAATAAAATCATATACCCCTGTCGTGGATGACCTACGTGTTTATTATTGTTACATTTACATCCCACCTGTGCTAGAAGGAGTTCAAGGTTTTTCCATTTCTTTCCTTACAAGACTGAAAGATGAACTTCATGGCTGGTTGCATTTCATTCTATGTTTCCTCAGTCCTTGCGTGGTGCTTTACAGGGTTGTAAAAAGGGCCTTTATGATGTTCCCAGTGTTTTTTGTTTTTCTTTTAATTCAGAGACTCAGAGACATAGAAGCAAATGGAGGTTTACAACTTTTATTATTCACTTCCTGAGCTAAAATTTCACTTAATCACCATATTCACACAAGCAATCAAACCTCACTAAAGTCTAGCTGGCCAGACTTGGCTTGAAGTCTAGAAAAATCAAGATGGCATATCTATATAGAATGTTTGTTCCATGTGATGATTCCCAAGGATTCCAGTTCCCAGATACTTTTGTAACATCCAGCAAGTCTTGACCAGTTCATCAAGATTTGATCAGACCCAGCTTGGGACTACTGTTACAGCTCCTGGTACTTTTCCACCAAAGTGTCATGACCACATTCAGTTCACATCAGATAAATCAGTTGTTTTGGGAATAACATTTTCTTGTGAGAACTCTTCTTTGATTGCCATTTTCCGCATGCTACCTAAGCTGAAGAGAGCCAGTTTGGTGCAGTGGTTAAGGCACCAGGCTAGAAACTGGGAGACATAAAGCCAGATGGGTGACCTTGGGCTAGTCACTCTCTTTCAGCCCTAGGAAGTAGGCAAGGACAAATCACTTCCAAAGATATTGTCAAGAAAACTGCAGGGATTTGTCCAAGTGGTCATCAGGAGTCAACACTGGCTTGAAGACACACATACACACAAAAAGAAGCTGAACAAATGTTTCTACCTTGAATGGGACTCACATATTCCATCTATTATGTATGTCAATTCACACAAATTCATGGTATATTGTTATCACCATACCATGGCATTATACAATTATTGGCATTTCATTCTAGTGACAAGAACATAATGGGCATTAATATGGTTATATATGGCTAAGATGTTCTAAGAAGTCCTATACTCCACTAGCATATTAGCTGTGACTTTGTGTGAGTTGTTATTTTCCAAGATCTGTTACTGAAATTTGATAAATTTCTCTTATTGTTGATTTTGCTATATTCTATCCTTGTCCCATAAAGGGACCATACTTATATTCTTTTTTTAAAAAATTGTTTCAGTATCTTCCAAGGAAAAGCCTGCAAAGCAAGAGAAAAAGAAAGCACCTCCTTCCCCAAAAGGTAACTTTATTAATCTACCTTGAGAAATAGTTAAACAAGCAGCATGTTTTGGATTCCTGGGATGGGGGCAGAACTGAACACAGAATGTTCTGTTCCATGTCATTCTGTCGTCTGCATGAGTCCTCTTGAAATAGCCCAAGAACATGTGAGTCCAACTATCCTCTGGATGATGTCTGTCAAGGTGTATATCCTCCCTTCAGATTTCCATTTTGGATTTTCTTCCCCAACACCTCAAAGGATGAACTCTGATGAAATGCTCTAGGCGTGGTTTAATGCAGGCTGTATTTTCTCAAAGAGCTGTTATTCCTTCATTACTCATGTTTATCTTTTATCATCAGATCACCTGTGAAACCGTAGAACAGTGTTTCTCAACCTTGGCAACTTTAAGATGTCTGGACTTCAACTCCCAGAATTCCCCAGCCAGCCATGCTGGTTTAAAGTTGCCAAGGTTGATAAACACTGCCTTAGAATGTGAGAAATGTACTGTGCGCAAGCTTTCCTGGGCAGTTGCCTCTTTCCAATCAGAGGTGAGACATTTGTCTATGTGGCTTTCCTGACAGATTTTCCTTCAACACAATTACCGTTGGGTATCTGCTTCACAAAGTGCCATCTCCTATGGAGGAGACACCAAACATCTCTACTGTATACAATCTGCAGGCTGATGGGTATTGTAAGAAGTGGTGGTGGTGGTTCTTTTTCTCCAAAATTAGTGGCAGAGAGACGTTTGTAACAAGGCCTTTTACCCGTGTATCAGTTTTTGATTAAGTGAGACTCAGGCTATTTCTGAGGTTGTTTGCTATTGCTTTATATATGACTTTCATCACCTCTAAAAATAGAGGTTCATTTTGTGCTGTTTTATTTACCACACCAACTTTTTCATTCTCCTATATTACTGTGTTCTCTCACTGACAGTTTCACGTTTATTCTACAGCAAGGCAAAAAAAGATGCTGGGATAAGCTGTTCCTATCTTAAATTGCTGCACATCTTGTAGGGTAGAAGTTCTGAGAGAGGAAGGTGGCTGTTCCTTGTATTGGCATCCTATTTTTAAATGAGCTTTGGGAGAAAGTACAGAGAAATCTATAGGTTTTTCATTGATTTCATTTTTTTCAGTCTTTATATGTATACATTTGTGTGGAGAGGTAGGATTTTAAAGTTTTAATACTTAAGTGTTTACTATAGAAGTGTATTAACATTGCCCAACAGACTGTTTTTTTAAATTAACATTGGAATCTTATGCATGTTTACTCAAAAGTAATTACCACTGAATTCAATAGGGCTTAATCCAAAGTAAGTGGGCACAAGATTGCAGTAATCCTATTGAACTTAATGGGAATTGCTTCTTAGTAGCCAGCATAAAATAGCATTTTATGGTATGTTTATGATCTTTTCCCTGGCTTTTGTGATTTGCAGAGTGCCACTTATATTAAAACAGAATAAAATTCAAATTTAAACATTAACAGCAAACACTATTTGACTGAAACTTCATTTTAACAGCATAAATGTGGGGAGGGGGTTGCCTGATATTCAGGAATGGCAAGTGACTCAGACAATAAGGCATTGTGGGTTTTTACATCATTTGTGTGATGATGTCATCAGGATGAAAATGTGTTCCGCGGCTTGCAAAGTACGGTGCCTAATCTGATAAAATTAGGTTTGCTATATTAAGAACTGGAGCCTCAGGCTTCAACAGTAACTCTAGTTTACTAATAAATCAATAGGTGGCTATACATCCTAATGGAAAGTGCATTAAAAACATTGGTCTTAAAACTTATGTTTCTTCTATCATAAAGAATACTTATGAAGCTATTCAGAGTTGGAGCTGTTCTAGTTAATATAGGTGATAATGGACCTGTTATCAAGAGAGATGATTTTGATGTTGGTGGTATGTTGGAGAATGCTTGAAAAGTAAGTTTCAACATCTTGCAACTAAACTCAGAAGCCATAAACCATTGTTGCTGAGTTTGCCATGGCTAGACTATGGGCTGAATAGATTTGTTTTTCTTAGTATTCATTGGAACATTAGCATTGTGTGCAAGATGCAGTCTCTGAAATGCCTTCAAAGGCAGCTCGGTGTAAATGTTGTTACAGTAAGCTCTCCTAAGGGATCCTCTTCTCTGACAATGGATAGGATTTGTGAAAGTTATCTCTGGCCATCACTGTGATCTACTTCTCCATTTTCAGATAGCAAATTTCTCATCTTCAATATTACAATTCTCCAAGGGCCAGGAATTACCTTATTAACTACATCTTAGCATTCTGTCAATTTGGCTTTATCATTAGATTGTGACAGACACTCCTGAATGTTCAATTAATGATGTAAACTCTTTGAATATGTTTTCTTCCATTACTGCGTTATGAAAGAGTAGTAAGCAAGGATTTTTCAGCAAAAGTAATATGGAGAACTTCCTGAAAAATCCAGAGTCTCAGGTGATGGGGAAGAGCCATATAGTTCCTGAGATGGCAAAAATAGTCTTGAGACCAATCTACCCTCTCCCATCCAAAATAGTCCATTACTTTTCCACAGTTGCTGTCTTTGCAGAATAACAGTTCCTGCAGTCTAAAAGAGCCTTGCTTTTTTCTGTTCCAGTGTCAAATGTGATAGAAATGTACATTTACTTTGCAAACACATGTTCTCTGCATGTTCTTTAGTCAATGAGGAAAAAAAAATAACACATGAGGTGATGTGGAGGATCCCAGTTCTTCTCTTCTTATCCTCTGTATTGATGGGAATAGTCAGTAGTAGAGGTGTGCCTATTTTTTAATTTCACCTAGTTATACCATTCTACAGCTTTGGAACCTTGATCATTCTTATACACATTTCCAAAAAAATTGGAGCACTTGAAAATGATTTGCGCATATGAAGAGTGAGATTATGTAAATCATGTGATTATCTGTTGTATCAAATTACTATTTTACTCCACAATTTTGTAATGTGCACCAAATATATCAGGAGAACTGATCTGTGAATCATTGTTATACAACATAAAACAATTACATTTATGCCAGCCAATTGAAAACCCATTAAAACAAATGTGTCTTAAGCTATCTGTATTGTTAGGTGATAGATGATAGATGTGATTACATAAGTGTTCTGCATGTTGTAGCATAATGGAATTAAACAACAAAATTACCTGAAAACATCACTTTAGTGTTTTCAGGGGAATTAAGCATCATGTATCTTACTGTAGTTCTACATATTATATAAAATGCTGGCAAAGTAATACTAACATCTTTAGTGAGGATTACATAAAATTTCACTATTTAACTCTTCAAATTAAAACCATATTAACATTCCATAGATATGGGATTCCCAATCCACATCAATTAATTTTTCTTAGATGAACAGAATTAATTAATATTTGTGCTTTACAGATCGATTGGTAAAATAAGGTTATTTTCTTATTTCAGTAACAGAAAAAACGAAAACTGAACGGCAAGAAAAAATGGAAAAAAAAGTTGTCACAAAAGGTATTTCTTTAGTCATTCATAATTTTCAGGAGTTTATTCTAATAATCACAATTCAAAGAGTTAAAGTTGTTACTGTTGTCAACGGAAGATGAGAAGTGTACTTATTTAACAGGACTGATCATGATTACTTGGCACTTCAAAAAGATATCTCTCTAACAATTCGTTTTAGTACTGCTTGGCCAAGTAATCATTAAAATGTTCAGAATCATATGGCAAGGAGGGGAATGCAGAGGCCAGATCACTCCAGGAGGCTATTGATAAAGTAATGATAAAGCCAATAAGATCTAAACATTAAAATGAATCATATCAGATGGGAACCTATATGAACATTATGTTTTTACTTTGCAATAAGACTTGATCCAATTTTCTTCTTGTGATCAAACAAATCTCCAGATGCTTTTCCAATGAGTCCCTGGGATTGATTGCAACATTTATTATTGTTTCAAAATGCATGTGTTTGCATTTAATTCTACTTCCCCTATTTGAGTTATTGAATTATTTGCCCCTTCAAGTTCTCCTTGCAAATTTCTAGAGTCTAGACCAGTGTTTACCAATTTTGGCAACTCCCAAATATGTGGAATTCAGTTCCCCAAATTCTCAGCAATGGTTATGCCGACTGGACAATTCTGTGAGTTGAAGTACACATATCTGGAAATGGCCAAGTTGAGAAATCCTTGTCTAGATATTTCTTCATTCTTTAATGTGCAGAATTTAAATGTTAAGAATCTTATTGTTTGGATGTGTTACTTATTTTACTGTTGTCACTCTATAGTTTTATTTTATTCAGAAAACTAGATAAATAATAACTTCATTAAGTAGAAGTGTGCCCAAGTACAAGTCAAAAAGCTAGGCCTTACTCTCTTGAAATTACTTTAAAAAAAATCTGTAGATATTTGAATTAGGTCCTATCTAAACAGTCTGCTTAAAACAGTTAATTCTTCTATACTTTATATTTTCCACTGATGGTTAGCAATGACTCCTCAGTCTCAGTGGGGGTTGGACTAGAACAGGGTTTCCTCAACCTTGGCAACTTTAAGACGGGTGGACTTCAACTTCCAGAATTCCTCACCCTGCTAGTCCAGGACCTCCAAGACCTCCCTTCCAACCCTATGATTCTATGATTTTATAACTACATAAGCTTGTACTGAAGATATTTTAGATGCTGTGTGGAAGGGATTTATGAAAAAGTGACTTTTGAACCTAAAACATTTATGTTGCATGCAGATAAAAAGAGCAGCCAAGTTGAAGAAAAGATAAAAAAAGATGTGAAAGGCAAAAAGACCGAAACCAAGGCACCTGAAAGACTAAAGCCCAAGGAAATCAAAGCAGAGGAAGTTACGTTACCAAAAGCCAAGGAGAAAAAGGAGACTGCTCTGGTGGTCAGAGAAAAGTTGGATCAGAAAGGTAAACAATAGCAGGAGGAGGTCATCAAGGAACACTGAAGTGCAGGAAGGAACTCAGATTCCCCCCTTTTCAGGAAGAACTAATCCGTGATTAAAAGAGTTGGGAGGGGGCGTCTTCCTCTTGGATTCACTGATGTCTACTTCTTTTAACTAATGATTGTCTTAGGAACAAATTCCACTGCAAAAGCATTTCCAGCATAAGAACAAAGAGGTGAAACCTCTTACCTTGTCTAACAGAAGGAACAGTGACTAGTGGGCCCCATCTAGAGAATGCTTCACATTCTTAAATCTAAGCAGAGAATTTGTCAGGAACTGGAATGAGAAAGGAAGAGAGGTAGGCAGAAACTGGAGAACATAGATCTTTGAGATCTATGTAATTTATATCTCTTTCTACAATATATACATTGAATGTGGAAAGGTGGAGGTATGGGGAGGATTGAATATGACATCATCAGCCAGCCAGCCAGCCATCCAGTTTGCTGGCTGTTCTGTGAATTGTATGTTTCTGATATGTGTATTTCTTTTTTCCACCCCATCCATCTATCCATCATGTAATAGATTCAGGGCTTTTATAAGGTGGGCTAAAAGAACCATACGTAACAAGGGGATAAAATTCAAAATATAACAGCAAGAAGACTTAAGCGAGTCTCTCAGTTTCACTCCAGTGCCAATTGCCAAGAGGAATCCGAGAGCATAGGAGTTCTTATGGATTCTAAATGCTTATCTAGCTCATTTTTAAAAACCACAGTAGCCAGTTGAATGCATTAGGAAACCTACAGGTAGGACACAACTTCAACAGTATCTTCTGATACTGCTGAACAGCACTGCAAGATTGTTGTAAACCAGGCAGAGCTTGGCCTACACTATAACAATATGTCACTTTGATAGCAGAAGTTTCATAACTGACTTTTCCCCAACTATTCCCCTCTGGTATGGGAACAATGAACTGTGTTTGGTTTGGGATTTCATTATTGGAGCTACTTTTAGTGCTTCACATGAAGGACTGAATAAAAACAGCAGATTGTCTCTTCTGGTGCTACGTTTTGATTGGGCACACTAGTGCCTAGTCCAACTACATTCACAGTTTGAATTTTTCCATTTCTTGCTATTGATAACTCTCATTAAAAAAACAATTCATAAATCAATCACTGAATGACTTATTCAAGAAGTAAGATACTCCTTTGTGTTCTTTTAGTTTTTAATTCTTGATTTCTTTTTCTTGGTTTATGGAGAGGAAAAAACAAATTCAGGATAAAGTGCAGGCCCTCAGAGGAAAAGGCACAGTGATTGAACCATTTGGTTACCAACTTTGGACTCAACCTGGACTTCTTGCTTTCTGTCTTAGATGGACATCTTTACTTGTCCACTTCCACCTAGCACATTCTATTGCTCTTCCTGTTGCTTTCTTCTCCAAATGATTCAGTTCTTGTTTGTAGTTCCATCCAACCACTCCCCTTTAAAAGATATTCCAGTTAATAGCCTCTGATTTTCATTTCTTTGTCCTTGTAGTTAGTCAGACAGCTTTTAGTGACCACAATGCTGAGTCAATCCTAACTGAGGACTTTTCAATTTCACCCAAACTTCTCTGCCCCTTGCAATTCCATTCCACATTGTATATATTTTTTCTCCTTCTTCATACATTATACTTCTCCCAAATCTGCTGATGGTTTTCTTTTAAGCATGGATGATAGCATTTTGGCAACAAAAGGATTCACACAGGGAGACAGTAGACAATAAATATCACACAAATCTTCAATTTGAGCTGCTTAAGATTTTTGCACACTTTTTTTTTTAACTTTTTGGAGGGTGGGGGGATAAAAATCTTCCTGTGCACTTATGTGCTGCACAAAAAATAATATATTTTTAAAGCAATTAATGGTTAGGTCCCATAATCTGAGTTATTTTCTTAGCAATTATCAGGACTATCTCTTGAGTAAAAAGGTAACATGCATGTAAATAAAATAAGGACAGCACGCATCATTTTTTTAAAAAACTCTTATTATTGATTTGAAAGATTACGTAACATTTTAACATATCTAAGTTAAGAACATTTGTGCATCATCTTTAATTTTCAAGTCCTCTCATATAAATTACTTTTTAGGAATAATTAAATTTGTTAAGTATGGGTTTCTCAATTTTTTAAAGCTCAAATAATTCATTCCAGAATTTGTATTAAAATTCTTGTGCTTTATTGTTTGGGTTTCTGTTATTGTATGCATGTTTGTGCATACCTTCCCTGGTATTTGTATTTCTCCAAGCAATTTCCTATAATATTATGTGTTCATATGCACATTTATTCCAATAAACACATTTTTGTGCTCATCATTACCTAGTATATGCATTTTATGTCTTTTTATTTACTTGTGAATTGTATTGCCAAACTTGGAAAAGTGTTAGTTATTTCCATTCAGCTTGTAAGGTATAAATATTGTAAGTCTGTATAAAAATCACGTTGAAAAAAATCTCATGCGTCCCAATCAACTGGACTATGAATATGGGCATTATTTTTTAGCCATTGTAGATTAGGAAACAACATCAATATTTAGTTTTATTTTTAAAGCTGTTGAACCTTAGCTTTACTATTCATTCACATTAGTTTTTCTGATCTGTTTCATCATTTCTGTCTTTTTGACAGATGTGCCATATAGAAATTGGGAGCATTGGTGGAGAGCTCTCGTGACCCTCTGGATCAGCTTTCAGTTGGGGTAACCTGTGCTGATCTGACAAAGGCTTGATGGGGTTATGGAAGGCAGATTGTATGAACTTAATATTTCTTCCTTTGGCACAGCGATCCTGAGTGCAGGATTGCCCTACAAGCTGCAACCCATTAGAGAAAAAATGGAAATTGGGAGATTTTTGCATTTCCCTACTATTTCCCTTCTATATAATAAGAGGAAGATTTCCCTGCTCTAGATGTGAAGAGAAAGACAGGAG